AAGGCGAGAGGTGTCAAGGTGCCGAGTATGTTTGTTTGTTTGGTTGGTTGGTTGGTTGTTTGTTGGTTTGGTTTAGTTTGCTTTGGTGTTGTGTGTTTCCTTTTTTTCTGTTTTCATCATTTCTTTCTTTACTTGTTTTGTCTGTCTGTCTGTCTGTCTGTCTGTCTGTCTGTCTGCCTGTCTGTCTGTCTGTCTGTTTGTCTGTTGTTTGCAGTTTTTTCTGTTTGTCTGTCTGTCCGTTTGTCTGTGTGTCTGCTTGTTTGTGTCTGTCTGTTTGTCCGTTTGTTTGTGTGTGTCTGTTTGTTTGCTTGATTGGTTGTTTCCATGTCTGTCAGCCTGTCTGTCAGTCAGTCTGTTTGTCTGTCTGTCACTCTGTCTGCCTGGTTGGTTGGTTGTGTGTGTGTTTGTGCCTTGTGTCTTTGTCCGCTTGCTTGCTCACTCGTTCGCTTGCTTTGCTCTGCTCAACAGGCACAAGGCGACATCGGTGTGCGAAAACTTAAGCCTTGAAAGGGCTTTTTTGGATCCCCACCTCCTTAGAATGGACTTCAGGAGGGGGGTGACTCCTGGCATTCCATTGATGCTTCCGTTTCCCGCATGCGCTCACTAGTTCATTGCTTTGTTTTGATTGTCCGTTTGGTAGGTTTGTTCGGTTTGTTTGCTTGTTTGTTTGTTTGTTTGTTTGGTTGTTTGTTTGTTTGTTCGGTTTGCTTGTTTGTTTGTTTGTTTGTTTGTTTGTTTGTTTGCTTGTTTGTTTGCTTGTTTGTTTGTTTGTTTGTTTGCTTGTTTTGTATGTTGTTTTGCTTGCTTTCCTCTTTGTTTGTTTGTTTGTTTGCTTGTTTGCTTGCTTGCTTGCTTGCTTGTTTGTGTTTGCTTGGTTCGCTGATGTTGTTTTGCTTCGAATAGTTGTCAATTTTGGGTGTGCCTATGTTGTATGTTTTTTGCGTTGGTTTTGCCTAGTTTGCTGATGTCCGTGCTTCAAAGTTGTACGATTCCCCCATCCGTCAAAAGCCACCAATCCGAACCAAGGGTAAGCCTGAATGGTTCCTTACGGTTCCATTGCAACTGGAATCCCTAACCGGTGCGGTGGTTGAGAGCCCGGATGATCGGCTAAGTCAGTAGCAGGTTCCCCGCCCAGGTTATATCCCGCTAATGAACGAAATAACAAGGTTAGCCCCACTTACGGGGACTTAATTCCAACAACTTAACACCGGCCGAACACCCAAGTAGGGTTGCTTAGCAATCCAGAGGAAGCCTTAGGGAACTCCCCCCCGCCCCCCTCCCACCTTGGACCACCCGCTTCTTACTGAGATGGTCAACCAACTTGGTACGTAGACTACAAACCCCTCCCCCGCCCCACATTTTTGGAGTGGGGTAACTGGGGTTGGTTCCTGAGAACCATGGTCAGAACCTTACTAAGTAGCTTGCAACCCCAAGTACGAACCTTGCTGAACACCTGGATAGGCTTCCTTCGGGCTCCGTAGGGACCCCCCCGCCAAACCCCTGGGACCACTCCCCGAATCAAACTTAACTGGGTCCCCCAGCCAGGTGCCCCTCACCCCCTGTTTTGGTTGGGAGGGTTCAACCCTACTACAGTAGACGTCCTGAACAACAGTGGGTGCCAACTTATGCTAACCTCTCAAATCTGGGGGACCTAGTACAAGTTGTTTGGGTGAATCACTTTTTGGTCCCCCGTTCAGTTGGGGAGCCTAGGTCAGTGCTTCCAGCCACTATACAGGTAACCCTTTGCTATGGCTAGCAACCCCGGGTTCCGGTTCCCTACGAAAATAGACGTCCTGAAAACAGTGGGTACCAACTTATGCTAACCTCTCAAATCTGGAGGACCTAGCTTAGGGTTCCTTATCCCCCCCCATCAACAAAAACTGAAGGACCACTCCGCGAATCTCAACTGAAGGACTGGCCGGAGCTGCCCTGCAGCGAACTGGATGCCTTAGTGACCTGCGTCGCCCAGTTCTTGGCAGGCGCCTTCGGTAGCGGGAGCGATTTGGGTGGAGGCTTCGAATCACGGATCCGTTTTTGTTTTTTTCCTAGGGCTGGTTGTTATGCTAGGGCTGGTCCCCTGGTTGGTCGGTTGGTCGGTTGGTTGGTTGGTTGGTTGGTTGGTTCTAGGAAAAAAAAGCCCTAGAGAAAAATAAGCTCTGGTGATATCCCCAACAGCATGCGGTGCTCTTTTTAGTCCCGTGGAACCCTCACGGAACCCTGGTGGAACCCTCGTGGAACCCTCGTGGAACCTTACCTGAGGGCCGCCCCGGACCACCCTGGAGCCTATTTGGGCTGAGACCCCAAAGCTTTCAGCTGTTGGGGAATTAAAAAGAAAAAAAACTAGAAAACCTAGAGACAAAAACCTAGAAAATCTAGAAAAAAACCTAGAAAACACAAAAGTGACCCTGTGAATCCATCCTCCTGAAGAAGCGGAGCCTTCACATGGGCTCGCCCTTTTTTTTGCCTAGAGGCAAAGAGCTACCCTCCCCCCCCCCGTTTTGTGTGGTTTTGGGACACCGGGGTTCCTCAACGCCTACATGTCATCCTGGCAAGCGCTTCCATTTGCGTTTCAGATGTTTAATTCTTCCATATGGTTCCCTGGTTTGAAAGGGAATCGATTGGATGCAAACGCATTCTAAAACGGAAGTCCTCGTAAGGCAACTTGGGGTCCTGCAGGCTTGGAGTTGGTCCAGCCGGTTTGTTGAAACTACCAAAAGGTGGCTCGTCTTGTTTGAGGCCAAGGGTACCCCTTGTGGTTTTAGATGGAAAAAAGGAGACCAACCGGATCTATGGAACCCAAAACACACATTGCATGTTAGCAAACTCGAGGTAGTTCTGAACATCGACCAACTCCAAGGGCTGTTCTTAAAGGGCTCTGAACCAAACTGAGGGATTGAAGCAAAGGAACCTAGCTTGGTTCAGGAAAATCCCATTGCGCACAACCCTGCACTTGTGTATGAGCAGGTGCATCAAGAAGTGATTTCTTAGATCTCCAGAGGCCATGAGAAAAGGGCATTTTGGGGTTTTCAGGCTCTGTATTGAACGGGGATTGCGGTAGGTAGACCCACCTTTCGTGAGTGCTTGAGATCCGTTTTAACCCTGTAGGGACCATGGCTGACGAGTGATTTGCCCGGGGAATTACCAGACATGGCCTAGTCAAATCAAGAGTTGGCACTATCTAGAAACCCCTCAGGAAGGAGGCAGGGGGCTCTCATCAGGCATCGATCCGCCACAAATCAGATAAATAGACACACCTGGAAACCACAAGTTGTTTTTTCATTTGTCATTTGTTTGTTTTTTTTTGTCTTTTTTTCATTTCTTTTGTTTCCGGGGGAGAATAGACGCGCACTCTCTCGCTCACAGCCCCTTGCACATGCGTCTCATGTTCGGGGAGCAAGACACTGCACCGCCCTGGCGGCACTCCCCCTGCTAAAGCTAGCGGGCAGCGTCCTTGCACCAGGAGGTCATGGTTGTCGTTGGGAAACATTTTACATTTTGCTTATTGTGGTTTAGTGGGAAATCCCCACTTAACTGCTAAAGTGTAATTTTTTGCTCCCCTTTCAACGTCAACCAAGAGGTGCGGCCTCCGAAACTGGCGCAACTCAGAAGGCAGCCCCCACAGAGAACGCGGCTCCCTGCTAGGAACTTGCACCCCTGCTCACTGCACAATGGATTGCAACTGCTCTAGCTGCTGTAGCTTCCTCGCCATGCCATGCGGCGCTTGGCTCGGCGCTCCTTTACACCTTTCGCATGCACAAGGATTGCCACCACTGCATCATTTTTCCCATGGATGGCCGGCTGGGTGAAGTTGGACCACACCTCGGTCACACCTTTGGCCCCTCATAGACACCTCCAACCATGAGGAAAGGGCAGTCTCCTTCTGACCCTTAAACACCTGGGTCTGCAGAATTTTATGGGAAGCTCACCTGGGGGTAAAAACGAACTTGCCATGGTAATGATCAGTTATTTGGGGATCCCTCATTTCATTTCGAAAGCGAAACGACAAATACAACAAATACACACATAACCCGCCCCCCAACAAAGCAAAGAATACACATAAAAAAGAAGAAAAAAACAACAGCCCATCCCTGCCCAAACAAACAAAACAAAGCACACACATACACGCGCCAAGCACACCAAGCACACCAAGCACACCGGCGTCACCGGTTTGGTCGCGTCGCTCGATCTCGAGGCGTGGGCTCGGTGGTGCTGCCGACGCTGAAGTGGCGGGAGCACCGGTTCTGGGGCCACTTCCGGAACTTCGGGGACTTCCAACACCTGGAGGACACGCGCGTTCGGGTCGATGGCTTCTCTTCCATTTGCTTAAGATTGTCTTTCTTAATCCCATGTTGGTTTAAACATGAATTTATCACTACTGGAAATATGTCCTTTTTTCCGGGGGTCTTAACCAAGTGGAAGTGCTTCCTTTTGCGGGGGGCTCATGTCTTTTTTTGGGGGGACCCGAACCTCCCCCCGAAAAAAAAAAAAAAGAAGAAAAGACACGGTTTTCGAGTAGAAGGGGACACCCCCAGATGATTCAACCAGAGGTTCATGAACTTGGGGTCAACTTAAACTGGAAGTAGTGGGAACTCACTTCCTGAGTGGACTGGCCAAAAAAGTCCAAGCTTTTATTTACCACTAACATGGTCCAGCCCCAAAAAGTGACTCAAGTCCAGGAACTCAGGAAGGGAGTTTCAAATGGACCATGCCCCCCCACTCGAACCCCCTTCTTTTAACAGTATTCTTGATAAACCCTTTCTTGGGTTGGTTTAGACTGAAACCAGAGGGAATTCATCACTTTGAGAGGGCACATCCAGCTTACTATTCCGGAGTAGATATCTGTTGGGGGGGGTTCATAGCTGTTTCTTTCACGTGATGGTTGCCCCTAATGACCTACTATAGTGGTTATAGCTGGTGGTTTGAAGGGAGCCAGACTCCGAGCTGGGGTTATCCCAGTTTCTCGTTTGGGAGGAAGCTAAGCAGCTATCAGGAGTTCCGTAAGAACATGGTGATTATACTAGGTCCCCCAGCTAGGTGCCCTTTCTCACCCCTTTTTTGGTTGGGAGGGTTCCCCTACTAAAATAGACGTCCTGAAAAAAGTTGGTACTAAAAGTTGTTTTTTGTTTGTTGGGGGGGGGCGTGTGTGCTTCTTTAGAGACACCCATTTGCCCCCGCAAACAGGTGGACGGTGTTCCTTTTGAGATGCGCAAAACGTGCTCTCCAACCAAAGCTCTAAGGCTTGATTCCGATGCCAGTCTTTCCAACCAGGGGGGAGCTTCTAGGGGTTGATTCCTCTTCCATTCTTTCCAACCATCGTTCTTTTCAAAAACCGATCGCTGTTTCCCCTGGGTTTTTCATGGTTTCCTGGAAAGATTCGGATCCCTGGACAGAATGGGAATGGAAGGTAGCACTAGAAAAGCGATTGGTTCAAAGGAAGAACCGAGGCTCAGGCCTTCAGGGAGGGGGGTGTTCCCTGATCTTCCATGTGCTTAAGAATATTTGTGATTTTCCCTTGTCGGTTTTAAAGGGAATCGATCACTAATGGAAATATGTTCTTATGTTTTCCACGGGCGAACAAGCAAATGGACGCTTATCTTCCGTTGTCTTTTTTCTTAGGGGCGGTCTGATTGAAGATCAAATATACTTAGATGGCCTGGGAGGGATTGCTAAATGGTTTGCTGCGCCAAAGTCACGTAACCCATTTACCATGGCAAAGCAAGGCCCCGGCAAAAGCAGGATTCTGAACCATTTAGCGATTCGTCCCAGAACATGTAAGTAAGTTCCGTCAAATGTCCCCTTTTCCAAGTGGCCACTAGAGGTCTACGCGAAAAAGAGTGAAACCGTTTATTTCGGCGAACCCCTGAGCCTCCTTGATGAATGATTGCAGCCTGCCCATGAAATTGTGTCAAATGAGTTGGCCTTTCTCAAGCCAGTTTGTTTGCTCAGATATCGGTCGAGGGTCCGCTGTTGCAGGTGTCCTGATATGTCCGGCTGTGGAAGGCACCAACATCACTCGTTGACGCACCTGATGTCCATTGTTAAGCGGATTCTTCACCTTTGGCCTAAAAAGTGCTTCCAGCTGCAAGCATAGTAAGTCATTTGCCCCTAAACTTCACTTTCTGGTGTCCTGTGGGTACCCTTTTAAGGCTTGCCTGAAAGCACTAGGCGAGTTGCGGGATCAGATTTGGGCTGTCCGAAGAAAATTGGGGGCCCCACAGCACTGATTCACATGTACTCTTGGATGGCCTGGGACGAATCGCGTGGTTAGCTTTGCCAAAGTCAGGTGCCCTCCCTCCAACTAAGATGGCATTTCTTACAGAGGTCCCTTCAGGGGCAAATTGATTTTCCAGGTACCCTTCAACAGGTGCTATGTTGGTGGGAGAGAGGGTGACCCAGTTACCATGGTAAAGTAAGTCACCATTTAGCGATTCGTCCCAGAACATCCAAGCACTTGAATTGTTCCCAATACACGGACCTCCAGTGGCGCGCCCTTTTTCGCATTGCTTCTATTGGGGTTCAGAGTTTCTGCGGCCAGTGCAGGTCTAGGAATCCCTATATATATATATATACATGTGATTGTATATATATACATATATATATATATTATATACATATATATATATGTGATTCCCGAAAAGGTAAAGCAACAGCTTGAGCAAGAGTCTACCGCAATCCCCCATAAGGAGGGCCTATTTTGCTGGTCAAGCAAACTCAAACCTTTGGCACCCCTCCCATTATTCAGAGTATTGAATTTGCGATTCGTATTGTGCCTATACAAAGATACGGTTTGTGCCAACATTCCTCTTCATACTCGCAATGCGTTGACCATGCACTGTGATGGGACACACCTTACAATAGGGAGGTGGAGATACATGCGCATGTAAATGATGCTTCTTAAGGGGTCACCAATTAATTCTCAAACTCAATCACGATTTGTCGCCTCGGCCTCTCCCCGGTTTTACCAACACAAGGCGTTTACAGTGCCTTATCATTGTCTGATTTGGGAAGACCATGCTAAGGGGGGGAGGGGGGGAGCGGTGGGTGGGGGGTTGGTGGGGGTGGTGCTGGCATCGTGTGAATCAATCGCCATGCCAGGAGCACGTGCACGCGGCAGTGGAGAAGTGCTTGCCGATGGTTCAGAAGCACAAGCGCCAGAAAACTGCCTGAGACGGCGGAGTTTCTGTTCGGGCGGAAAGCCAAGCGGCCGGCTCAGCTGGTGGGTATTTGGGTGCATGTTGTTCATAGGGGTATCCTATCCCGCTTGGTTAAAAGGGAAACCTAGAGGAAAACCACCACTTTTGGGGTTGGAAGCTGACTTTGACCGACTTGCACCATCCAAAAGTTGGTCAGTTCTATGCAGCTGTGAGGAATCAACTCAATACACGGATCTTTGTGGCTTAGCTTTTTTGCCTTTTAGTGTTTAGTAGTGGTTTCCATTTAACCCACTAAAAGTTGTTCACTTTTAGCAGGGGATCTGAGGGCAGCCCGTCGTTTTTCAGGGTGCCTCGAGGGTTACCCTAAAAACGACACCCACATTCCAGCTGGGACCCATACCCCCTTTTGCCCAAAAATCACGGCTGCTGGGGGTTGATTCCGGTTCTTTTTCTTTTCGAAAACCGGATCCGTTTCCCCTGGTTTTTTGATGCTTTCCTGAAAAGATTCGGAATTGGAAGGTACCCCTAGAACAAGAGGTTCTTCAAAAAGTCTCGTTGGGGAAGCCCCTTTGCTGTGAATTTTCGTGCGGCCTGTCGCCATGGTAGGCCACCAGGAGATTCCAACCATGCTTCTAGGCGACACTTCCAACCATTCTTTCCAGAGGGTTGGTGTGTTGAGGGTTTGTGTGTGTCGGGTTCAAAAGGAAAAAGCGTTCTATGAGATCTAGGGCACACTTCCATTTCCATTCTTTCCGGGGATCCGGATCTTTCCCGAAAGCCATGAGAACCCGAGGGGAAGCAGCGATCGGTTTTTGAAAAGAAGGTTGAAAATAATAGAAGAGGAATCAACCCCTAGAATGAACAACCAAGAGGTAGCGATTCATACCGCAGGGTTGCCTATAGTGGCGAAACGCCAAGCACTGGGATTCAGACCCAAAATGTGACTAAAGAGTGTGGAAGTCCAGGGGGTTTGCACGAGAATGGCTATCCGCATCGGGATCGGCTGATAGCAGTTGAAGTCTGGCCAATTTGCAAGACTCACTGCTCGAAGGATCAGCCTTCGGTGATCTGGATCCGGATTCGTGCCTTTGGGGCTCTCCTTGTCAGGCGAATGGGGCGCTCGCCGGCAAAAGGGCGTGAGTGTCCGCAACTCCGAGCCATCCAATCATCATGTCCATTTGCTGAAAGGCATTGGTTTGCATCTATGACTACTGGAGATATTTGCTCAGTTTTTCCTGGGACTTAAGGACATGGAGGATCATGTTCTACCCCATAGAAAAGGGGAAGAGAGTCGACACACACACACACACACATAGTCATGAAATTATACACTGTTTTGAGAGTGTCATTTTTTGAGAGCACCCCTGTTTTTTGTTGAATTTCAAAGGGAAACCAACAAGGCAAACCGTGTGTTTGAGGGTTCCAACCTCAAAGAAGACGAGCCGGCCCCCCGCACATGAAAACTCTCTCCTGAGAGGAAACTTCTGTTGGGCGGCCCCCCCCCTCTGTTTCTGGGATGTTGAGATCGCTGAGCGGTTGGAGCAGGGCTGAAGTGGAGTGGAAAGCGTTCAAGAGTTTGCACTCGGGGACTTGTGTCCCTGGAGTCTGCTGGTGACCCTCTAAAAATGGAGTCATGACCCCTTTCTTTGGGGCAATGCCCCCATGTTTAAAGGGTCATGGAGACTTCAGGCACTAACTTCTTAATGGCAAGAGGCACAAGCACGATTCACCGGGGTTGCTTTCATTGTAACCAGAATGTGGGCTTGATATCATATTTTTTTGTCTAGTGATCAACACATGTTCCTCCTTTAACCACGGAGTTTGTGGAAATGACCAAGTCAGATGGTCTTCCATTTTGACGACCGCAGTTTCCCTTTTCGGTTTGAACTTCACTTTTGATCGCCAAGTTTACCTGAGCAAAGCAAGGTGATGTTTGGCTGAGCAAATCTAGGTTGGACAACCGAAACCCTCAGAGTTTCTATGAGCCCTGGAGGCCTCACTTCCTGAGCTTCTGGCCTTCAGTCACTTTTGGATTGCCTGGACCATTTTAATTGGCAACTCAAGCCCGGTGCTTCCGCTTGGTGTTGCGGCGCTGTAGGCAAGCCTTCGGTATGAATCGCTAGCTCTGCGTTTTACATTATTCTAGGGGTACCTTCCCCATTCTTTCTAGGGATCCTTCTTTCTAGGAAACCTCCAGAAACCCAGGGAAACGGCCGGTTTTTGGAAAGAACAATGGTTGAAAAGAATGGGGAATCAACCCCTAGAATTATGGTTGGAAACCTCTGGTTACCGGGACAAGTTCAGACTCGGTTTTGCCACTTCGGGGAAGTGAAGAAGGAGAGAGCCCCGGAAGCGGATAGAAAGATACTGTGGAGGGCGGAAGTCCATAAATTGCACCACCTAAGAAACCCGGGTTTCTGATTCGATTCCCCCCCATAAAATACCAGGAAACGTTATGGTTTCAACCATGGTTTCATTTTGTGGTGCGAAAAGGATTTCGTCGATCGACAGTATGTCAAACAAACCTCGGCGGAGAAGGGCCCATGTCCTTCGGAAAGCGTTACATGCCTCTTGCTTGGATTTGTTCAACCGACTTCGCTCTGAGCCTTTTCCCTTTTAGAACCTTGCTGTAGGGAGCATGGGAGAAAAAAGTCAATTCGCTTCAAGGATCCATTTCCTGCTCACATCAAGCTTTCTTTGGTGCATCTTGGCTGTTAGGACTGAATAACTTTTTGCCAACTTTGATGGGTTTTCCGAACTAAACCACTAAAAGTTATTCACTTTTCGCAGGGGAGCAGAAAGATCTCCAGTCCAGCCAATCACTCTAAGATCTCCTAGGTCCCCCGGCAATTGGTGCCCTTTCTCACCCCTTGGTTGGGAGGGGAAACCCCTACTAAAATAGACAAAGCAGAAAAAGGTTGGGCCCCTTGTGCTAACATCTCTACTGGAGGACCTGGAAATTGAAGGGAAACCGCTCAGTTCCCGACCAATCCACGGTCATGCCCACAAAAATGATCGAGGCTGCCCTTGCGGGGCTCATGTGGGAGGCGGAGCCAGAGGGACGCCGCCATGTTGGGGTACCCTGAAAAAAGACGAGCCATCCACATCGGGGGCTTCTCAAAACGTCACCCGGAGAAGGAAAGAAGGACACTTACCTCTTACAAACACGAAACGTTTCTCGACTTTTGGGCTAAAAAAATCTGTAAAAGATGAGAACTTCCCCAGGGCTTGGAGTTTTAAGGGGTAAGTAACGTAACCCGGAGAAGGAAAAATGCAAACTTACCTCTTAAAAACACAAAACGTTTCTCAACTTTTTGGGTAACATGGGCTAAAAAAGTCTGTAAAAGATGAGAACTTCCCCAGGGCTTGGAGTTTTAAGGGGTAAGTAACGTAGCCCGGAGAAGGAAAAATGGAAACTTACCTCTTAAAAACACAAAACGTTTCTCGACTTTTGGGGTAACAAGGGCTAAAAAAGTCTGTAAAAGATGAGAACTTCCCCAGGGCTTGGAGTTTTAAGGGGTAAGCAACGTAACCCGGAGAAGGAAAAAAGGAAAAGACGGGCCATGCACTCCAGAGACCCTGAAGGCCAATACAAGTGAGACCACACAAACGCGCAGAGTGCAACCTTGGCTCGGCTGAGGAACCAGCTTACCACGCGCGTGCAGAAGATGGCGTGGCGCTCAGCGAATGGGAACTGGGCACTTGTGTCTGGCCCTATTTGATATCAACCTCCAATGAATCCGGAGGGCCCCACTTAGAAGAACCCCTCAAAATTGATCATTCCCTTACCAACATGGAACCCCCCCTGACTGTTGAGGTCTCCGGATGAATGGGACGTCAACGTCACCATTGACAGAGTCATCCCTAAGCGATAGGTTCAAGCCAAGGGAACCACCCGTTGCTGACGTTGATAACAACAGTGATCATAGTAACCCATTATGTTCCAAAATCGCGGTAAGGCTTGGTGTCCTTTTTGTTTCCCTTGACACCAATTTCAATCAAGGGTACCCCTCAAAAAGGACACAGACACGTAAACTCCCATCCACCTGACACTCCATCCGCATGGAACCTGACTAGGGGGCGGAAGCCCATTTTACTCTCAAAGAGACCCTTTGCTTTCAGTGGTACACGCTTTTTCGATGTACGCAGATATGGGTGTGGGTCAGAATAAAAGCAGGAATTGGACCGCAGGTATAGTCCTTGGTTCCATTTACCAGGTTCCTTTTGGGGTACCTTCTTTTGACCCACCGCCATATGGACTAAGAAAAACTGAGGTAGAAAAACTGAGGTAGAACCCCCCAGTTGATCGCTAGGAAGGTGTCTCATTTTGAAGATCGTGGTTCATTTTGGGGGGAGACCGGTCGATCTCGCCGGGTTGATATATCCAGGGCGACAACAAATCTGCTATTGTGGATGCCAGTCTCTAGCAAAATGGGTGTATGATGCAGTGGGGATAGTTTCAAAGCAGGAGATCTATTTCGCGACATTGATGGATGCCCTTGTGAGCCTTTGCTACAGCAAAACAGCGCATCAGCTGGTGCCGCGTTTGCTTGTATTTTTAGGCTGCTAGGAGCACCATTTATCATAAGGCTTTCCTGGGGATGGACGAAATCCTGCACCAACTCAGAATCCCTGGAATTATGTTTCCCCGTGTAAATACCAACAAACTATGGTTTCCCATGGTTTCAAACTGGTGTAGGATTTTGTCCATCCGCAATAGCACAAGAAATAGAGGGACCCGCCTCAAGACACCTACAAGCGTACCCGCAATGAACAAGCAAATGCGCAGCAACGCTTCACTGATGTGCTTCATGATGTTGAATCTGGCAAGCAGTCCTTATACACAGGTAGTGAATTTGCAAGGCATGTAGCATGAGTTCAGGTAGGAAACGATAGCAGCGGAATCGAGCCTGACCGAAACTCAGTTCAAAGCCGACCTCTTAACCTTTCGGGTTTCCCTTTTTGGCCCGGTAGGTCCCAAAAGCTTAGGCCTTTTTTCACTTCCAATTCCGAACCCTTTGGGCTGAAAGCCTCGAGGACATCCGAGACATGTGCTATGACATCCTGGACCGCGTGAA